AGTAGTATTTTGTGTGTTTCTAATAAGTGAGGCTACTGTCATGATCAAAGTGACTTCTGCTTACCAGAAGTCTCACTATAGACACAGTAGACAGTGCATTAGCTCAAATACTGCCTGGTAAGTTGAGGCATCTCAGTGCTGGGGATGGAATTCAGGGCCTTACTTACACTAGCTCTGCCTCTGAGCTGGTGTATCCCTGCCCGTCTGTTTCTGAGGGGTGTTGGACATGTTTGGTTTTCTCGTTTGTATAAGGGTGATACACTCATGTTCATACTAGCATAATCAACAATATTTCTAGCAGCGAGGCTGAAAGAGATGGATGAACAACTGAGAACATGAAGAGAAGTCTCAGGCAGAGAGCTATAGTCATGGCCACTCACGGATGAGTGCTGCTCTCTGACTCACAATCCAGGATATTGTGTTTAATTCTGAACAATGAAGGGAAAAAACATCTAACATCGAAACCGTTCACATTGAAGACTGTCTTAATTTGGGTTTTATTGCTGTGAAGAGACACCATGGCCAAGGCAACTCTTATAAAAGCAAACTTTTAATTGGCACTGGATGACAGTTTCAGAGGTTTAGTCCATTATCATCATGGCAGGAAGCATGGCAGCATGCAGGCAGACATGGTGCTGGCAGAGGCAGGAGGAGACTCTGATTCCACATTTTGCAGAGCTTGAGCATAAGAAATCTTAAGACCATGTCTCTACACTAACACACTTCCTCCTACAAGGCCACTCCTACTCCAATAAGGCCACGCCTTCTAATAGTGCCACTCCCTATGGCCAAGCATTCAAACACATGAATCTATAAGGGCCAAACCTACTCAAACTACTACAAAGGCTTTCTTATTACTTCATTTTTTAAAAATAAAAATCAGCCCCTATAATGAAAAATTTTCCTACAATAAACCACCGAGGCAGCCTATAATTCTTTTATAAGATTTCATTCTCGATATGTAATGTTTTTATGCAAGTCCAGTATTATATTTCATTTTGTCATCATAGAACCCAAGACTTTAACTTCCTGACTCACCAGGAAGCTGGGAGGGGAAGAATACTAACAGTTACACTGGTGGCACTGGTAATCCTATTGGCTCAATAAGAAGTCCAAGTATAAAGAAATCAAACTGTTGATAGAAAGAAATAAATGGTCACAGCTTCACTATGGTGGTGGAGACAAGAAAAATGCAATTGATGCATGTGGGTTCTCTTTCCGTGGCTTTTTGTTTTTTCCTAGTTCTTAGGCTTTGTGGACATAAGTGTGAGTATGCACATGTGCATATGTGTGTGTGTGTGTGCATGCACATGTGTGTGCATGAGTGTGTGTATGTGTTTGTGTGACTTAGAGTTAATACTTTGAGTTTATTAGTGTAAGGTCTGATGTTTGGACTAAATGATCACAAGTTTAAGTGGAAGGAAACTATGCATTTGTACTTGGTGGATGTAAAATTCTACTTACCCTGTTGATAATATATTCAACTATTCGATAGTCAAATTAGATTGGTATTTGCTTATAGTAGAAGCTAAGAATTAGGGCAGAAAAGGTCATATTTTTATGCAGTGTGACAAAATTCCCTTGGTGACCAGGAAGAGTAATGAGTGTGTTGCAGAGGTGTGGCTTGTGGCCCCAAGGACACATTTGCCCAGTTCATTAGATTTTAGGGAATAATCTATGTAGAGGGAATTGTGTATATCACTACGTAAATATCCTCTTGAGACATTCCTAAATCATTTTACAATGCAATTAAAAAGTATCTCTGCCTTGTACGTTTGATTACAATGCATTCATTTATGCCTCAGGCAAAGTGGCATGGATAACAATATCAAATTAGATTCAATTCAGTGACACTTGGCATATGGTTTTTGACCACACTTTTAAAAATTAAAGCACAAGCAATTTCTGGAGATTAGAAATTTATAGCTAATTTATGAACCTGTATTATTTTGACTTTATTTTTGAATGCCGGATACCAAATCCAAGACCCTTTACAGCTTGTTAAGCAGTCTAGTGCTCAGCTAAAATCTAAGTCCTTGCAGGAATTATGGTGACACATGTGTACTTCTAAGTAGAAAAATTAACAAATGTTTAACTTTATGAGGAGAATTTGTAGATTCAAGCCATAGCAATTTTTTCTTCAGAAATATTCTCTTCTTCTTCTTCTTTTTTTTTTGTTTGTTTTTTCGAGACAGGGTTTCTTTGTGTAGCCCTGGCTGTCCAGGAACTCACTCTGTAGACCAGGCTAGCCTCGAATTCTCGAACTCAGAAATCCGCCTGCCTCTGCCTCCCAAGTGCTGGGAAAAAAGGTGTGCACCACCACCGCCCAGCTAGAAATATTCTCATGTTTAGGAGACCTTTATAAAATGTGTAAGATTATAACATATTAGAAAAAAATGCTAATAGCTAACAAGACCTAGGTAACTTTCCATTTTCTTTAAAAGGGAATGCAAACATTTTAGTAATAGGAGCATTATTTTTGAAGTAGTTGTCTTTATAAAATCCTATTGTTCTCTGTGTGTGTGTGTTTCTCTGTTTCTGTTTCTCTCTGTTTCTCTCTCTCTCTCTCTCTGTCTCTCTCTCTGTCTCTCTCTCTCTCTCTCTCTCTCTCTCTCTCTGTGTGTGTGTGTGTGTGTGTGTGTGTGTGTGTGTGATGTGTTTGAGTGAGGTCAGAAGGCAACTTTGGGGGTTGGTTTTTTCCTTCCACCTTTATGTGGGTTCCAGGCATTGAACTCGGCCCCTTTGCTTGCTGAGTCATCTTGTCAGCCGTGGAGTGATCCTCTTCTAAGTGTCCCGAGACATTGATAATATCCAGTGTTTACTGGACTGAGCTCCTACAGCAATCTGCTGATGCTCATGTACAGGTTCAATTAAAATAAAATTAATTTTGATTAGAAAATCTAAGGGCTGGCAAGATGGCTTATCAGGTAAAGGCTCCAGCTGCCAGGCCTTATGACTTGGGTTGGATCCCAGGCCCTACCTAGTAGAGAGAGACTCCTGCAAGTTTTCTTATGACCTACATTCACAAATTGCAGCATGTGTACACTCCCACAATACACATATACACAAATACATACACATCAAACAAATAAATATGTAATTTAAAATGTAAGGAAACGGGGCTGGAGAGATGGCTCCACACTAAGAGCACTGGCTGTTTTTCCAGAGGACCCAGGTTTTATTCTCCATATCTCCACGGCAGCTCACAACCATTTGTAATTTCAGCTCCAGAGCATCCAGTGCCTCCAAAAGCACTGTGCAGATATGGTGCACAGACAGACAGACATGCAGGCTAAATACCCATGCACATAAAATAATAAATATCATAGCAAATGGCCAACAGAAGTCTGCTTTTTATTGGTCTCCATATTAGCATAAGACAGAACCACAACATGGAATTAGTTTGCTTTCTCTGATTCATGTGCTCTGTATCATATGGGAAACACTTATTTAATTTTGAAGAAACCTTTACTAATCAAATATCTTCTAAGGGAATTGTGTTATTTCTTGTTATGGAGACTTTGCTGACAGTTCACTATGTTTACAGTATGTGAGTGTGTGTATGTGGTTGTGTGCATGCATAAATGTGTGTGTGTCTCTCTTATTTTCAGAAATTTAGTCCACTATTGTCATCCAGGAAGCATGGCAGCATACAGGGAAGTATGAAGAATTGAGAATTCTAATCTTGATCTGAAGGCAGCCAGAAGGAAACTGTGAGCCACTCTGAGCATAGCTTGAGCATACAAGGTCTCAAAACCTTCCTTCTCAGTGACACATTTCTTCAGCAAGGCCACACCTACTCCAATATGGTCATACTTACTAATGGTGCTACTCCCTATGGCCAAGCATTCAAACACATGGGGCCATTCCTATGCAAACTATCAAATAAGTATATACATTACAACTGAGGTACATCCCCAACTCCAGTTTCTCAACTAAGTAATTTTGGAAGTATAGTGTTTCCATAGAAGGTTTAAAAATATGTTCTTGAAGATGTGAACTTATTTATAAATGAAAGATTTTTATATGTCATATAATCAGAGAATTTATAACATGCATCTCTACTAGGTAAAAATGTGTTCAGGTCACCACTCACAAATATCTTTTATGATTTATTTTTACTCTTAATAATTTTTAACTTTTAAATTAGCATATAATTATATCACTTCCCCCTTCCCTTTTCTCCCTCCAACCCCTCTCATATACTTAAATAAACTCCTTATTCTTTCTCAAATTCATGGACTCTTATTCTTTAATTGTTACCATATATATATATATACACACACACATATGGCATATATAACATTACTCACACAAACATGTATTCCTAGGTGTAGAAACACAACATGCTCAGTCTGTATAATGTTTCTTATATACATATTGTTTCAGTGATGACTACTTGAAGATATTTTTAATATTTTTAATATATGGCATTTATATTTACAAAAGATGTAGTTTGCGTCCAACAAGTACAAAAGTACTATTTTGTGTGATGGCAGCTGTTTTACCAGTGGAAGGGGCTCACTGGCTTATGGCACTTTCAGTTTATCTCCTTGAGTGGCTTTCTGATCCAGGAGGAAAAATGCCACCAATAGGTGGAAAAATGCCATGTAATCTATAAAAAACTACATACAGCAAGCGGTCTTCCACAGGGCCACACGAGCTACCGAACTGCCTTGCAGTGAGCCTAACTTTACTTTTGAAAGCACTAAGTACATCTTGTTCCAGAGTCGGGGGTCCTGGTTAACTCAAGAAGGATGATGAGCAGTGTTACCTCAGGATTCGTATGGGAGAGATTGGGAACTCTCGTCAGAGCCTACTGATGTGGAGGAACAGGCTAGGTAGATAGAAGGAACAGCAAGATAGTTCCAGGAGAAAAAGGTCAGACCCAGAAACCCAGATACCTCTAACCACCAAGTTCATATGGAGTCTTCCTAAAGCACAGCATGAATGAAAGACTGCTAATATAGAAAAGTCACTTACCATTTCATCTCTTTCAGAACGTTGCAAGTGTAAGCCTGTCAGAGCTACACAGAAGACCTATTTCCGGAACAATTACAACTACGGTAAGGATACCATCACAGTCCACTCATAGACTGCTGTGTGTTGGGAAACCTGTGTGTGTATATTACATGCACACACTTGCACATGCATAAATGGATAGTTTAAAAGTAAGGCTTAAAGTCAAAGGACACTTACAAGGGTTGTTTCCAGTTTCAGTCAATTAAAATGTATCATGGTGGCAAAGTTCTTCTCAAAGGTGTGATTGTGAGAGCATCAGTTTAATTAATTAATTAATTAAAACCATAGATAGCATTGAGTACTCAGAGATCAGTTTCAAAGATGAAGTTCTTGTCTCTGGGTTGGTTCCTGGATTCCAGCTGTGCTTCACGAGAATGACCCAAAGGACATTGAGAAGCAATACTTAATAGTTGTTGATATTCATCTAAGGGAATGCTTTGCTATTTAACTTGACCAAATTTAACATTCTAATAAGCTAAATTCTAACTGAAGAGTCTCCTCTCCAAGCAGAGCTGACTGCTTTCCTGAGAGGATGCTACCTCTCCAGGGACTGTTTCAGGAGCTTTCCATGTCCTATCTCATCTTATTTTCCCAACCGATCATGAACACTCTTCTCATTCTGGCTTTATGAGTGATGATTATTAATCCAAAGCTGCCCCTTTCTTCATTATGTATAATGTACTTTTGGGTACTTTTATGCTTCAGTGAATGTCAGTCACTGTAAAGTACATAAGAGGCAGTCACTGGCATTCCTCTGCTGGGAAGATAGGCCTGCTCAATGTTACTGTTTTCTACAGATTTTTTTTTTTTTTACTATAATTACTTTTCAAGTAGAAGCTGAATATTCCTTAGCCAAAATGCTTGGAACCAGAAGTATTTAGGATTGTAGACTATCATTTTGTATTTTTGAATATTTGAGGATAGGTGAGGCTATTCTTGGGAATGGGACTCAAGTTCAAGCATGAAATTTGTGTTTCACTGACAGCTCCTGTCACATGAAGTCAGGTGTGGAATTTTCCAGTTGTTACATTGTGTTGGATTTGGCAGTCGGAATGCTCAGCCTGCCAGTGAGACTGACAAGGTCATGCCAGTCTCTGATCCTGAGTTAATGACTAAACATGGATTCGAGACTTCTAAAGTCAACTATGCTATGAAAATGAGAATTTTGTTTTTATGTGCCTTATCTTTAGTGGTCAACTGCTAGAGCAGGGGTTCTCAACCTGTGGGTCACCATCCCCTGGGGGTCAAATGAGCCTTTCATAGGGATTGCTTAAGACCACAGGAAAACCCAGAGATTTACATTGTAATTCACAACAGCAGCAAAATTAGTTATGAATGAGCAATGAAGATAGTTTATACTAGGGGGTCATCACAGCATGAAGAACTGTGTTCAAGGATTCCAACATTAGGAAGGTTGAGAACCACTGTTCTAGAATTTGGGGACTTAGAAGGAGAGAAGTTGGCATGACAATGACAGTCATGGATATACAACTTATTAAAGAGCATAAAAGACACCCTTGGGGGTAGGTGAGTCTGAATGCAGAGACAGGGACCCTGCACTTCAAAGGCTAGCCTAGAACTTGCTCTGTAGCCCAGATTGCCCCTGAACTTGTAACCTCAGCCTCTCCAGCACTAGAGTTAAGGGCATGAGCTTCCAGATCGGCTGAGTACTTATCTTAAGCAGGATTTTAGCCACTGTTAGTTAGTAAGGGACAGACAGACATCCCAGGGAGGGACAAATATTCCCAGACTGAAGAGTTTAGTTTATCTAAGAATCAAATTCCTGGCTACTTATCTCCTTCTCTTTATGCACACTGCCATGACTGCAGGGAGAGAGAGGTCTTTGGTCTCAGAAGGCTAGCTTTTTAAGATTTATAAAGGCTATGTGAACTTTTAAAATATAGTTATGATAAAAAGTAAAATCATAATTTCATACCAGGGGTCTGGCAGTATTGGTGGAGGGCTTGCCTGACACCCACGGAACTCTGGATTAAATCATCAGCACCACATGAAGTCAGTTGTGTAGCTCAATGTTATCCTTTGCTATGTAGCAAGTTGAAGGCCAGCCTGGGATACATGAGTGCATGTCTCCAAGCAAACAGCAGCAATCACTACACACACACACACACACACAGAGAGAGAGAGAGAGAGAGAGAGAGAGAGAGAGAGAGAGAGAGAGA